AATTTCTCACTAACCACTAAACCAATAGGCTAGACGATGCCAAGCCTACTGCACGGATGGCGTAGTGGTTTAAGCGGTCACCTCGCCGCTTCCTACTGCGCCGATCCCCACATGGGACAACACTTTTTGTAATCCACAAATTGTTGTTCTGAGTCTGGGTGCGTTTCATGTATGTTTGTAAAGTCCCCCGCGACACAGGATTTATTCCTAATGCGGGAGTAGTCTTTATTTAATAAAGAAAGAAAAGAAAGTCAGAGTTGCGGGGAAAATTGGTTTAGTATTCTTTGTGTATCTTGAAAGACGGTAGTTTAAAAAGAAAACATATATTCTTTTGTGATTTGTTGTAAGTTATGATATGATTTCTAATAGTTTTAATAACTCAATAAGACAAGTCGTTGGCAATTATGTTATTAATAATACATCTTTGACTTTAGAAAAAGCCATTTCAGTGATGAAATTAATTACCGCGAAATCGAATCCGACTCAGCCCGTGATGTCATAAAAACCAAAGAATTTAACAGACAAATAGTAAGCTGGTAAGTATTGTTGTCTGGTGGATAGTGATGTAGACAGCTAAGCCGGAGATCGTGAGTTCGATTCCCACCCAGGACAAATAATTGTGTAATGACCATGATCATTTGTCCTGTGTCTGTGTCAATATGTACATACATATGTATTTAACAAAACTAGAAGATATTTTCTCAGCAGTCTGGTTACCATAGCACAGACTCTGCCTAGTTTAAGAATTGTGAGGTTACTATTAAAATTAACCACTTATAAATTTATTGTCTTTGTCGCTTCAAGTCCTCAATAATGGGGGAACCAAATCAAACAGTCCAAAAGGTATCAAGTCAGCTAAGTAAAGCCGCTTTTCGATCTGGATACATTATACATCTGCGATACAGGGAGTACACATATTACGAAGACTTGTGAACACTACAAATCCAAAATAATGAGAATATTTGGTACATAGGAATTTTTGTTTATTTATATTTAAATAATGTATATTGGTCACTATATTCAACTTCTCGTAACATCGTTAATAACCGCATCAATTTAAAAACGCCATAACCCAACATAAAACTGCCTTGCAACAGTTACGGAGAATAAACTGCAGAGGAATCGCACAATATAAAGAGCGATAAAAAGACAATGCGATACGTAACAAGTTAAGTTCAGCACGCACTATGCGACTAACTTGACTACAGGGATGGCGTAGTGGTTTGAGCGGTTACTTCGCCACTTCCTACTGTGCTGAGTGTTGTGGGTTGAGTTGAGATGAATTTGTTTGGTCTTTCTTCTCATTGGGGTCAACCCCTTGGTAAGGGACGGTCGTAGATCGGCACAGGCATATCATAGATTTTTTATAAGTGTAATTTTTATTACATTTATTTGCTTACTATTTGACAAAACAGAGATTGTTGCTTTGGTGTGTTTTGATCTATGACTTTAATGTCTACATAAAAGACGATTTCAAACAACTTTAAAAATTTTATGAAATAAAGAGGTTTGAGTTCGATTTTAATATCACTTTGTGTTTTCCACAAATCGTTGTTCTGAGTCTGGGCGTTCTTTGTGTCCGTTTCACGTATGTGAAGTCCTCCGCGACAGGATAGTGCGGAGTTATCTTTTAAAAAACAAAAAGAATACTAGATATATAAAATACTTATTTATAATTAAAATATGATGTGGAAAATGTTACTTTAATCTGACGGTTTAATAAATAGTTTCAAAGAACTTTTGAAATTTTGGATACACTTTTCATTTCTTCTAAAAAACTATAATTCCCAGGGGATAGTTTTGTAGACAATGTTATTGATAAGCATTATTGGACAGTGGACTAAAAATGATGTTTGACATTTGTTCTTCACTCCAACTTAAGTGATCGTGAGTTCCAAATCCGCCCAGCGCAAGTCATTGCACATGTATTTAATTTGGTTTTCTTTTAAAAGACGATTTCCGCACTAGAAAAATATCCTACGTCGCGGGGGATTTTACAAAACATAGATGAAATAAACATAAAGAACGTCCAGACTCAGAACAACAATTTGTTGATCACACAAAGTGTCGTCCCATGTGGGGATCGGGCATTCAGCGTAGTAGTAAACGTCGTGGCGACCACTACGCCATCCGTGCAGTCAGTATTTTAATATGTCTGTTTATATATCTATGCAAGTGATTGCATGGTTGAGTAAAAATTCATGGTACACACAAAATAGACAAAAATCATGTGATTAGTAAATTGCTAATTGTGATTAAAACAGTTGAGTAATTTTATAAAGTCATGTAATTGCAATTAAATATTGTGTAGAAATGTCACGTTCTCGTATTAGATAATTTTTGTGATCTATCTGTATATCTGAAAGAATGTATTATTAGTTAATATTTTGTTCAAAGATAATTGCAATCTATTTATCTTAGAATGAGTGAACCTTGCTAAATAGTGCTTCAAAGTGATTATGTAAATTAGCGGTTTGTCTTAATTAAATTCGAATGACATTTACGTTAGTACTTAGATTAGAATAGATAGAATGCCGTTGTAATTTGTGTGGCTCTGCAGGGCAGAGATTTAAGTTCCTTTTTTTTAGTATGTATATGTGAGATTTTTTATGACTGAAAAGTAATATACGAGGCTGGCAGACAAATGTAACTTTAATAATCCGACAGTATTTTAAAATTAATAACATTGACAGATAGTTTAAATAAATAAATCATTATCCCAAAATACTACACTCCATTCACACTGAAGACAAAAAAAAATAAACACTCAATGAATGCAACATTCGAGAACGTGCGCTGACCCTTACAAAAACAATCAGTCGCATCTGCGCGCATTGGCGTGTACTAAAAATTATAACGCTACTAAAAAGAGAAGCACACCAACTGGAGGTCTTGGTACTAATTGAGTGTGATTTACAACTCGGTCGGATTGTAACCTCGTGAACTTCGCCGAAGTGTATATTGTTTATTTGGCAACGTGTGTGGGATGGTAATGGACGCTAACTTTAGTGTGGTTTACGAGCTCACAGTTTTTAAAACTTAATGATGGTGGGTATATATGTTAAGCGTTTTTGTAAGTAGCACTAAATTGACTGAGTAGTTGCAGTCATTGAGTGAAATGGTGATTAACTAAATTTTAATGCGTTGGCTCGAAGGACCATGTAGGGCGAACTTTTACACAAACTTTAAGCTATGTTGTAAATATGGTGTAAATGAAAATATATGTATCGTTCGTAACCATTTTTTCGACAGGAACAGTTTTTTTTCGAAATGAAAGGTATAATATACCGTTTTTTGTACCCCTAGAATAACAAAAACTGATCACAACCAGGCGGAGCCTATCCTATGGTAACCAGACTGCTGATAAACATATTTAAAAAATTCTAAATACTTACACATTATTATCGATAAATTACACCCAGTCACAAAACAAATGACCCTGTTCATTACACAATTATATGTCCTGGGTGGGATTCGAACTCACGACCTCCGGCTGGGCAGTCAGGGTCACCAACCACTAGCCCAACGGGCTTAATAATCAAATCATGGGACACAAACAACCAATAAACCCTCAGAGAAATTTCATTAAAACACCATCAGTTTCGATCAATCCCCAACACTCAACATAGCAACACCTTAATGTTCCTAAGTTCATTGCATTTAATTCAGGGGTTGAAAGAATTTGCCCTTTATAGACAAATTATATTGCTTAATACGGTTCCGTACCAAAACAAAACGAGTGCGCCTGAATTGCTGAATAGATTTTTCGATCTTATAACTAAAACTAATAAATTTAAAACGACTAGTAAAGATCTAATGAATTTCGAATCTATAAAGCGATTTTTTTCAATTATTTCAGAATTATTTATTGGAAAGTCACCTTTCTAAAATACTGAATCCAAATCGGTACCTCAATTTAGGAGCTTTGATGTCAAATAGATACACCATGTTAACTTGACACAAATATATCTTTTGCGTATTATTCGTATTATTCGCGGCAGCATTTATTCTATAAGTTAATTCGAGTATCATTCGATGAACCTTACTTTGTTAGATATTAAGAGTACTTTCTGTGGAGTGACATACATGATTAAGAATACAGAGTGTCACCACCCCTGTTCATCCCGTGGGAGCCGACTAAGGGAGCAAACTACACAGGACAACAGCACTGCAAAAAGAAGGAAAACTTGACACAAACCCTATATCAACCCGTCTGGACAGCGTGTTATAGTATAGTAGGAAAAAACCTCCTTTCGAGGCCTATGCCCAATAGTGGACATAGGCAAAGTAGAAGGAGAAATATTGGTTCAATATTTAAGTTGTAAAGCTTCACAAACAAACAACGATTCCCATTAATAACATAAGTAAGTATATACACTATGCCAGTGTCAAAATATAATTTATGTTGAGTTCGTTCACGCCACGTCCTATCACGCCCACGCATTGTTATTATAATTGAACCAATTAATCTTAAGCAATTAAACTAAATCATCTTTAAAATTAGTTTTGGCGTGCACAGATTAAATATCTTGAACTGACTGTAACACGAATTAGTCACTAGGATAGTATGTATGTGGTTTGGGGTTTCAACCCGACTTAGTACACTAGTGATCTGAACCGACTCCGAACGCAAGTATTACTCTTAGCTAGAAACATTAATAAGAAATGTATCACCACCCTTACTAGTACAAATATAAATAACTAACTTTTACATCAACAGCCTATAACAGTCCACTGCTGGACATAGGCCTCTCCTTACAAAGGAGGTTTTGGCCTACTATACCACGCTGGCCAGACGGGTTGGTATAGGGTTTGTGTCAAGTTTTCCTTCTCTTTGCAGTGCTGGTGTCCTGCTTAGTTTGCTCTCTTAGTCAGCTCTTACGACACTCACGGGATGAATAGGGGGGGTTACACTCCGTATTCTTAATCCGTCACCACACGGATTTCCCCCCGTATACCATAAAAAAGATAGATTATCTATTAACTGTTGAAAAAGTATATTAAGAATTTGATGACTCACCTTTAACCATCCTTTCTTCATCGATCCACCCCGGCGAGTCCTTCGATTTTGGCACAGACAAATTCAGTGGCTCCTCACACTTGTGATACACTTTTTCATCACTATCACTAGTTCTCACACCCTTTTGCAACAACTGTTCCTGCAGTTTATTTTTATGCACATTTATTAAGTTTCTATCACTTTCTGTCACTTGTATACTCTTCTCTTGATAACCAAAAGACTTCTTAACATCGAAGTTAATTTTAACATTCATTAATTGAGAGACTGTTGATTTCTTCTCACTTTTATCTATATTTCCTAAAATGTAATCTATTGAATGGGGGGTTGGTTTCTTGGGCGGTTTGCCGTATACGTGCGGATGCCAAGACAGTTCAAAAATGTCTTCTCTCTTTTCTTCATTGGTGTTGATTCCTTCATCTCTTGTGTCTATTCCATCGACATTAAGATCTACATCTTCTCTTGATTCATCTATGATTAAATCTTCTTTATCTTCGTCGACGTTAACTTTTTCGTTTGGAGTGAGTCGGTCATCGTAGAAATGTTCATTTGTAAAGTGTTGGGGGTCTATCAGAGTGCTATCATCTTGGTGAGGGGTGTAATTAGACACTACAGTTTGCATTTCTTTGTTTTTAATATTCTCTGTCATGTGTTTAATCTTGTTAATTTGTGCGGATATAAAACATGTTTGTTTTTATGATTGTATTAGTGTTTGATTGGTGCGCGGGCGTCGTTTGATGTAGCACTTTGATGTTGGTTTTGATGTGTTCATTCGTTTCCTGCAACAAACACAGTTTTAAATATTATTTAGTGATTTGAGATTGAAATAGGTTTTTAGAGATCTGGGTTTGTCAATTTTAAAGTGACTGATAATTAATAAAATGAAATAAAATGTGATGTACTCTAAAAATTATAAAAAAGTTTAGAGTATCATATCGTGATGATGATGATTGTGAATGATTTATTTTTAAATTGTGAACACCACGTTACCATAATTTTATAGTTACAATATATAGATACCCAGATATGATAGCGCTTAGAAAAATTTAAACACAAATTAATTTGGATTATTTTACAGTTCATTTCATAATAAAACAACCTAGTAGTTTTTTTTTTTTCTTTAAACAAAGTAAACTCCTGCATTAGGAATTTATCCTGTGTCGTGGGGGACTTTACCCCACCAAGACCCAGAACAACAATTTGTGGATTGCACAAAGTGTCGTCCTATGTGGCGATCGGACCCACAACACTCAGCGTAGTAGTAGTAGGCGCGGCGGCGTGGCGACCGCTTGAACTACTGCGCCAACTGTGCAGTCGAACCAGAAGATATAAATAAAAAAGCTTTGTATTTGTATGTATTATAATTTAAAAATATTTAAGTATGTTTACGGGCGGTTGTAGATAGGAACAGGCATATAATAGATTGTATGTATATGTTTATTTTGCAAAACAGAGATTGTTGCTTTTGTGCATTTCAATATTTATGAAAAAATAGATATTTTGAATCAGTTTGAGTTTATTTAGAAATATATATGTCCGGTTGACGGTGATTCGCCCCCTACAACGTAAGTGGAACGAAAACTATAGCCGTCAAAATAAGGGTGTTTCATACGCCTATATCTACGTAAGTATAAATAAATACATATGACACACAACGCCCTTTAGTTTCTAACTAAGCAGAGCTTGTACTATCAAAGATAGATTGACTGACAAAATACTTAGATACTTTTTTTTATAAATACATACATGGTACACATATAAAACACAAATATTGGCAGATCATACAAACATTTGGTCCGACCCGAGAATCGAACCTCAGACCTCTTCCCACAGCAGTCGCATAAGCTAACACTGCACCACTGAAGCAGTCGAGTATATTTATAATGTATATTAAGCAATAACGTTAATTTAAATAAATAAATTTTATTGATGTAGTTTACAACGGCCATTTAAGAACCATATAACCCTAGAAACTTTCACCCACCCAGCAAAAATATAAAACGATAAAAAATATAAGAAATAAAGTAAAAACCTACTAAAAAAAAACCCTTTACACAGTCGGGTGAAAAATCTTTTCCGCAAAACGAATTAACCGATACTCTAACAGCCCAATAAACCTGCGTGCCCTATCTTGTAGCAGCCCCTGCTCCCTATTCAACCGCTCCCCACCCTTCAACCCCCCCGCTCCATACCGCCGGGTCACCCCGCGCACACCGGGATCAAGTGATCGGTAAGCGCTGATTGATTTTTATTGGAATTACATATTAGGGGTGTCACTTAAGACTTTCATTCGCATTGAAATGTAAAAATTAATTTTGTGATTTATTAAGAGTTTTTCAAGAAAATGTAATCGATTAGAATATGTTAATTAATTTTTTAATTACGGTGACATATAAATCTTGTTACGTTATTGTTGATAATTATAGTTGACTAGCTCGCGTCATGGTAGTGTTGCTTTGGATTTTTAATTTTTTTCTATAATTTTTTTGTTTTACACATTTCACACATGGCCGTCTGATCACAAACTAGGCAGAGCCTGTACTATGGTAACCAGACTGCTGATAAACATACTTATATATTTTTAAATACATACATATTTTAGACAAATTACACCCAAACACAGAACAAATGATCGTGCTCATCACACAATTATTTGTTTTGGGTGGGAATCGAACCCACGACTTCTGATGTAGCAGCGAGGGTCACTAACCACTAGACCAACCATCCAATAATCCATTCATCATCATCATCATCAACAGCCTTTAATAGTCCACTGCTGGACATAGGCCTCTCCTCAGAAAGGAGGTTTTGGCCTACTATACCACGCTGGCCAGACGGGTTGGTTTAGGGTTTTTTTCAAGTTTTCCTTCTCTTTTCAGTGCTGTTGTCCTGCGTAGTTTGCTCCCTTAGTCGCCTCTTACGACACCCACGGGATGAATAGGGGTGGTGACGTTCCGTATTCTTAATCCGTCACCACACGGTTCTTAATCCATTCATTAGGCTTTTATTAGTATGCAGTAAGATTGTTTCTGTTACTCATGTTACAGTATTGATTAAAGTCCAAGTACAAGGTGATTGGTTTCATTGACCATTCTCAATGGTAAGCATATTTTAATTGGTGTATCATATTCTGTTTATCACCATATGCATTGCATGAATATTTGTGTTTACACTATTATTAATCGTTACTATTAATTATTGTTGTGTTATACATTCGCATAAGTATATTTTTCATGAGGAACCCAAATTTTTTTTGCAATATATGACAGTAGCCCACATTACTCTCAATTTGAGCTCGTGGAAATCAACAATGATTAATCAACAATTTTTAGTTTTTATTTTAAAATATGTTGGTATGTTATTATAACATGCATTCAATATAATTAATTAAAAAATAACATATAAAGCTATGACGAATATAGTTAACAACATAAGTATGTATATTGTAGTCAATAAACTACTACTTCTACAAATAATCTGTAATTTACTAAAAAAACAAACAAGATATTACATTTGCTCTACAATCAATTGTCTTCTGCGCATGATATTACACTTTATTGTTCAACTATTAGTAAAACTAATTATGGAAGTAACAAATATATAAATAAATGTGTACGCCTGTCAACCCTGGGTGAAACAAAGCTCCAACTCAAAACGTGATACAACATTACCTTACAGGGTGTACAGCGTGAATCGTACACACTCTATTTGAATCAATACGGTTTTTAATTTATACATAGCATTTATACACAACATAACGTAATCTATACTACTCTGGCGACCTATAAATGCTGCAGTACAGTCGAGGTTCAATTCCGAGGTATTTTTTTCATTGGTGAACGTTAGAATAAAAACTTGTTTGACTGATTTTTATATTTATTAAAAACTAGCCTGAAACGCTCCGCCATACATTGTGGTTGTAAAAAATAGATAAAAACCTTCTTCAACCTTTTTCAGTGTTTGAAACATACACAAACTAACTTAATATTTATAAATATATATATATATATATATATATATATATATACGTGTTTACACAAGTATGTATTTTGAAAGTGGCCGAGTAGTTTTAGAACCGGCAGGGGGCCTTATCAAAGAGTTAATCGTCCTGCCGCAACAGTGACAGTATTCTAGACAGGTGAGGCTGCCACTGGTTCCTTTGTGTTTTAGCTCTTGCGTTTGACAGTTGATGTACAACGGAGACTCAACTAGCCAGTGGAAGGTCACAAGAACAAAGGAACCACTCCCTGAAAAAGGCCCCCTGTCAGGCCGTGCACTAGCCGGGTACCCCTAAAAGCACTTGTGAATGGAACCGTATGTCTACTAGATAATTATGATTTGTTTGCGTCTAGAAAGCGCTTGTAATAATAGTAATGTTATAAAAGATTTATTTATTTATATTATTATATCTATTATAAATATTTTTATTACCTATGTTATCCTGCAGATAATAAGAGCATATAAGGATAAAAAAACACATTCTACTCGGTTGATTAATTTCTCACTTCCGGACTTTCGAATAAATTTATAATTAAATTCGTATGTACCTATAAAATTATGCAAACAATATTGTATATTACATTAGGATACACTTAGGATATTATATTATTCATGTTTATATTGTGTTTAGAAAGTTTTAAAGAACTTATCAACTTATTTAAAAAAATAAACGTACGTTTAAAAAAAATCCCACAAAAATGATTAGAAATCTGGGATTTAAACAAATAAAGTATTCAAATCATCATCATCAACAGCCTTTACTAGTCCACTGCTGGACATAGGCCTCTCCTTAGAAAGGAGGTTTTGGCCTACTATACCACGCTGGCCAAGCGGGTGGAAATAGGTTTTGTTTCAAGTTTTCCTTCTTTTAAAAGTGCTGTTGTGCTGCGTAATTTGCTCCATTAGTAGGATCTTACGACACCCACGGAATGAATAGGATTGTTGAAACTTCGTATTCTTAATCTGTCACCACATGGACAAGTATTTTATTAAAAACAATACACACAGATTCACTGCAAGAATAACCATATAATGTGTTTTGTTGTAGTATTATTTTATGTGAAACTGTTATATTTTATGTTTAAATTATTTTCATAAATGAAATATGTAGTCTTCTTGTTTTCAAATGTAAGTTTGTAAAATTAAATTCATTATTTTTTATTATTATTACTTATAAGTACACTCAAGTTGTACTTTGTAATGTTTGTAATTTAAAAGTAAATCTTTTAGTAAGAATAGAAAATGAAAGAAGAACAAGAAGAGTTAGAATAAAAGCCTTACTCTTTTCTCGTAGCGTGACGTTATATAGCCCAAAGCCTTCCTCGATAAAAAAGCTATCCAACACTAAAAGAATTCTCCAATTCGAACCAGTAGTTCGCTATCTTGAATGCACAAACAAATTCTTCAGTTTTATAATATTTGTAAAATTATATGAATGGTTTGCTTACATTCGTAACATAATTACTTAAACTGACAAATTACATATTTAATAGAATTTAGGCTATTTCAAAACCAATTTAAATCTTGTGTTTAGTAGATGCACATTCAATGTGTATTTGCCCTAAGGCAATGGGGGCCCAGGGTGGCACGGGCCCTAGCTCCCTTGTCAGTCGTTCCCGTATA